CTCTTGGATTGAGCAGTAGTTGCTCCCCCACAATAGAAGTTTTGATCGGTGTACCAAAAAGAAAATAGAAGTTTTCATCATACTCTTGATCATAGGATCGAATCCCCCAATCTCCTAAAAAAGATGTAATCCTGTTAATAAAACTGAATGTTCAAAAAAAAAAAAAAAAAACGACGTAAAGTAAAAATAAATGCCCTGATATGCTCCAAAACGAACTTTCCTTACATATTACTTTTAAAATGCAATTAATACATAAATCGCAAAGCAACCAGCCCCTCAAGAAATATATATAAAATACCAGCAGCAAGCTTTCAAGTGGTTGGGAACACCATTTAAAAGAACGAGAAAATTTAGCCCTTTACTTTTGTCTTCACCCAGAACCCTACTCTAAATTTTGATTAATTCAAGATCTATTGCGCTTCTACATTTATTATTAAAAATTACATAGTTGCGCAAAAGCCACATCAACCATGTCTTAGAGAATCAGGTTGCCATCCAATTAAGCTTCACGCTGACCCTTCCTTTAGTATAACCTTCATGCTGCAAGATATCTCCTTTCCATGTATTGTGGATATATTACTACTGATATACCCCCACCGCATGCTATATTTTCCAGTTCCGTGTCACATTCAACTAGTGAATTATCTGTAAATTTCTTCTTTGAGTTCTTTCCTATGGCGGAGGAAGCAAATTTTCCTATAAGGCCATGCTTACCTCTACTTTATTGTTTTGAAAGGTCATTCTGAGCTTTACTTCTGTTTTTATGGAAAGGCCATGCTCACCTTTACTTTTCATATACGAGGACCAGCCTTTGTTTTTTTGGTTTTTATTTTTTTATGGGTAAAAAAAATATTGTTAGGATAAAAAATTAAAAGCACAAGAGATGCTCCACCACATACGAAGCTTAAAATTTAGTTTCAGTAAAAACATAAGGTATCAAAACTAGCATAATAAGCCTTGAGAATTAATCAGTACCCCACTGTTCAACTCAAATCTGCGTCACCACTGTCTGGGGGAATTAAGCCAAATTTCTAGGGAGAAAGATGGCCATAAGTTTGCTTTAATCCAATAGCTAGCGACCCTAATTAGATCAATTCTACTAACTTTTCCTATAAATCCAATACTCTTTTGAATACCTTTTGATTTCTCCATAGTCATATTGACCCAATTGCCACAAACCATAGTATTTTCCAACCTTTCTTTGAGTTTCCTCTTGTAAATAGTCGAGCATTTTGTAAGAAATGATCCCAAAACCTCCAGATTGTGAGACCGAGCTAATGCCCCACCATTTAGCCAGACGACCGAATCTTCCAAGAAAATTCACATGAAAATAGTACCTTGATGTCTTCCCTTTATTTATAATCACAAAAGTCACAACTAAACGGCTAAACCCGGTTGACAAAGCCCCAATACAAAAATATCTGTGAATGAAGGAATCAAGAGCCATTTAAATTTGACAAGTAAAACACTGCGTCAGCCGTGGCCACCGGCCAGCCACATGGGCGAGCAAGTGGCTCTAATGAATTGGCGCCTGGGTTATGGGTTCGAACCTTACTGCACACTTGTAATATCACCCCCTCACCATCCCCACAAAATACTACGTAGTTCAAAAAAAAAAAAAAACCGTTTAGGCTGTGGGCTAGACGGTCACTTGATGGTTTTTCATTTTTTGGGTAAAAGGGGAACTTGATGGATGCTACTTCCAGAGCTTCAATGTAGAAACTTAGCTGTATTTTTCTTTTTATTGAACTTTTTAATATCTAAAAGTCATATTAAATCTCTATTAATTTGAAACTAAGTTGGGTTAGATTTCATAAAGGAGAAATTCTTATCTCTTCATTTACAAAACTTAAATTCAAGATTTCATTTAAGAGAAACTAAATTTTTTCTATTCAAACAAACAAATTATCGATAAAACTTAGTTGTATTGGGTGTTTCTAGTTGATTATTGGCCCTCTCATGGAAGTTATAAATTGTACAACAAATATGTGAAGAAAATTTGAAGCTTCCTTTTCAATGGCAGTTGTGTTGAGTAGAAAATTTTCATATCAATAATATAACAAAAAACTATATAAAAAGTATCACTTCATTTGTTATCAATTAATTTTAAATTGAATGCAAAATTGACGTTGAAGGCCACATATCTAAATTTTAGATAACATTATAGCCTAACATTATAGCCTAAACTTTGTTAGCCCACATGTTCAATGCATTTTGCTATACACATACATTGAGAGCAAAAGGGTAATGGGATGAGATCGAATGTGTCAGCTGACTCAAATTTCCCAAAGAAATGTGCTTTCGTGTGGAGCCATAGACCTTTAGCTGATGAAAAGGAAAGTTATCAGAGACATGTGGACCTTCATCTTCATGGATCTAAATTTCTCGATGAAAAGCTTCAATGATATTGCCTCTTATCGTGTAAGTATATTGACGTAACCAATTAGTGGACTGAGAAAGGAAGCACTAAATTTTCAAGTTTACCATAGTAAATGAAAGTGCACTAATCTAGTCCGTCTGTCTGTAGTATCCTGTATTAAGAGTGACAATTCAATAATCTAAAATATCTTATTATCTAAGAAAGTGATTGTTAATTACCTAAATAACATAATGGTACTTTTTAATGGAGAAAGAAAATACTATATGTTTGTTTGTAATTAAGTTGAATACTTTGTACGAAATGATGTGATAATTATTTATTTATTTTTTATTTAAAATCACATATAAATTTATACACATAATATTATATAATGTTATAAAAATTTTTATATTTACTGATGGATCCAATTGTGATTTCCAAACTACATTGTACTTACCGATTAAGAATAATTCTTAACATTTAATAAAGGTTCAAATACCTTATTCCATTAACGACATTTTTGCTTTTATATACTAAAACCTCATCCTCTTCTTTACTCTCACTATTTCTCTCTAATTTCTTTCAGTTTCCCAACAACGTACAAACAGTCCAGCAAAAATCCATTGTTGGATTATTCAACTAAATCAATGATGACCTTAATATATAAAATTAAAATCTAGAGTTAAATGGTACTTGCAATTTCAATTTGATTCCACTTTCAAGATTATTTAGAGGTTTGAATAAAAAAATTAAGGAAACCTCCATAGTTGCAACTTTTCTCTGGGGTTCTGGGAACACTGGCCATTGTCCTTGATGAACTGTATAAATTGGGGACCCGAAGATCAATAGATGTAACAAAAATAATAAAAAAAATAATAAAAAATAAATTAAATTAGGTAGAACCCAGATTGGATTCCCTTTCAGAACCTTCTAAGTTCACCCTTCATTCTTCCTTCTTCATCAACACCTCACCCTTTTCCCCCTAACTTTCTCTCCTTCTCAAAGCCAAATTGTGGAGTTTAGGGAAAAAAAATTCTAAATTTAGTTTAGAGACCCAAAAGGATCCACAATCCAAAGTTGAGGACCAAGGGGATTTAACCTCTAAACAAAGACTTGCCTT